TGGATTGAAAATATCGGGAGCTGCTCCTTCTCCTCCTTATTTTAAAATGAAAAAGAAGATTCAGGGATAACATCCTTCTTATGTAAGCCCTCTCATGGCCTGGGTGTATCTGGCTTAGTAAGAGGCTAGCAGCAAGGTGAAAATACATTTCTCCTAATATTCTGAGCATCAAATGATTTTGTTCCGTCGTAATCTTTCTTTTTCTTTGTTCTATAGTCCTAAAAGTTTTTCGGAAAACATATTACCAAAATTTTTACTCTCCCCCCTTATTTTCATATACTTTTTAAATTTTTTTGCCCGATTGAATTACATTCCATTTATACTTACTAGGATTACGTCATGTATAATTTTCCTACCATTATTTATTATAGTAAATTGAGTTAGGGCATGTAGTTATCACCCCCCAGCTCCTAACAATTCTCTGACAGTTGATATAATAAATATTATTTCCCAGAGGTACTGCCATGTGTAACATTAGATTTTTGAAGCATATTAAAGTCCCAATATAAAAGTAATGTATCACTATGTGATATATTCCTAAAATATAATTCCAGATTAAATTTCTCAAATGTCAATACACCTATATAGAAAACTGATACGTGCTATATGTCATATATCTAATTGTGAATTTCAGGTATATTCTGTTTTAAAATAAATAACCACCCAGTTTTCCCTTCCATTAAGTCGAATTAGAAATAGATTTTAAAAGTCTGAATAAACCTGCATTTTTAATTCCTTAGAGTAAGTTAACATATGAAAACTGTTATTCAAATTCTTGACAGGACTCTTGATCATGACAGATTTATACAATGAGTTTTATGAATGACATTAAGGAAAGGAAATATTCTTCCTTTCCTTTTAAGCCCTTTCTTTAAACTTTCTAATGTGATTAATGTAGTATATATATCAGGGTTTTAATTCCAGGTGGGTGGAGTATGGGAGCAATGGAAAGAGAATGAGGAAAGCTAAAAACCACAATAAGGCAAAGACGTCCCCATTTTCCATGGAAATATTACCAATAAGGGCCAAGAGACTAACAAACACTAAGCATCCCCATTGGAGATGAGAAACAAGAGTTTGCTCTTAAATTGACTTCAGAGTAGAGATGCCAAAGCAAATAAATCACTGTAAGTGAAATGCTTTGAAAGGTAAATAGGCTTTAAAAATATTTGTGTAGGTTAAGTTTTCTAATCGGAACTATTCATTACTGTCAGATATTGTAAAGGCACAGGTCCATCAGGATCTCTGGACGTCTCCTGGTATATAACTCATTATTTTTAGACCAATGCCCAGCACAGTGGACACCCCCAACAACTGTTAGTGGATGAAGAAAAGTAAGCCAAAGTTCCAGTATGTTATGTTTCATCAAAACCAAAATTGTGTTCATTTAAGTAAGAAGTAAGTAAAGGCCCCCACATTCTTATATTCCTTCAATCCATACTCATTTTTCATCAGTAAGAATTCCAGAATGATGAGCAACCTTAAATGCCTATTTGATCCAACTACTCAAGCCATTGATAGAATAAAATGCAGAGCAAACTTCTACTACTTAGGAGCCCCTGCCCCTAGCCAAGTTCATCCTCAAAGACCCTGTTTCACTTTGTATTGTCCTTGTGGTATGCTTTACAACCCGTAAGCCATTTATAGAGAATTTTGATAGAAGAACATCACTTTGACAGGTTACTTAGTCTTCATAGTGGCTCCACTGTATTTTTCTCTTACAGGAACCTTTTGTAACTAAAGTAAAAAGACTTCAGTCATTTATCTGATATGAGGAAGTCCTATTTATGGATAGGCAAGAAATAACCTATTTGTTTTCCTAAAGTTTCACTGGACATACACTCTGATCATAGATCACCAATGGCTTCTTCAATCTATAACCAGAAGTTCACTGAATATTCATCAATTCAACCAAACGTTGGTCAACAAGAAGTCACCTCAGTGGACTTGTCCATTTACCAAGATTCAATTGTGGGAATGGCAATGCCCAAATCCCAAGGTAATGAGATAGTAACCCTTGCAAAACAAATAGGTATCATGAGTTAAGAATGCAAGTCTGTCGATGGGGTGAGAGCATAGCCTGGAGACGCTGTTTGAATTCAGCCTGAATTTTGGAAGCAGGTCTGACTTTGCCTTTGCCCCAATGAATGACCTGTACTGCTTTGATCTAGCACGTCCCTTAAACATGGCAAGCTTTCCAGCATTCCCTGGGGGATATGCTAGACTAGAATCACCTATATGCCTAGTGAAAATGAACCCAGTGGGGCCACTTTCCTCAAGTCAATTTTTATAAACTTCCAGAGAAAGTCAGAAAGTACTGGACTAACCTAATACCACTAATATTGCTCATAGTAACTAGGTTGAGAACAGAAAAAGTGGGATGGTCAAATTGATATCCCCTTCAGGGTTCACACTGGTCTGGGAAATACAGCAAGTCCAAAATGACTGTTCTGAAAGACTAGAGATAAAATAGAGCCTCCTCTAATTTGAAGAGTGCCATCACCAACGATTGCTTCACTAATTCCTAATAAAGAGAGATACCTCATTGAATACTTACCGTTAGCCAGCACTGCTCTAAGTATTAGAACATGTCTTAATTTATGGAATCCTCAGGACAATCCTAAGAGGCAGGAATTATTATTATCATTCTGATTTCATCAATGATGAAATGGAAACCTAGGGAGGGTAAGTAACTTGCCCAAAGTTACTCAGAGAACAATGGTCGGGTGAGGGCTCGACAGCAGGTGCAGGGTTTACCCTTCTGCCCCTCGCCATCCTGCCTCCCTGTCATTTCCCATCCCTGAAAGCCTGGCCGAGAGCCGCATGAATAACCACAGACAGTGAGATGAGGACACAAGCCCGGTGTCTGTGGGAGGCAGCGTCACGTTCCCTGCAGCTCTGGCCTGGCGGGGAGAGCTTGTCCTTGCCTGGCTCCTCAGACACCCTCCTCGCTCACCTCAGGGCATCTCCATCAACTGCTCTGCTCTACAGATAAACTCTATGTTTTCTAAAGAAAACCTACGATTGTAAATATTAGTACAGATATCATTACAAACAAACTTCGGGTAGATCCTACGTTATGAACCAGAAAACTGGAAAGAGAGGCATAGCCGTAGATTATACTCTCTGTACCACACTCAGGGAGGGTCTGTGTGATGGTCCTAATAGGGGCGCCTGAAATTTCAGAGTTGCATGATTTGTATGGTTTTGCCTTAAACAGTAAGACAAAAAAAAAAATTCCCATCTAATTTGCTTTATTTGGTACTGGGCTTTTAAAAGTTGAAATTAAAAAAAAATGATGGAAAACACGTTCACAAATGATATTCAAAACCACTGAATGAAGGAGTCTCATTCCTTTTCTCTTTTAATTAGCCTACCCTTAAAGGACAGACTTTCTTTTCCCTCTAGGATCTTGACAGTCACTGGGACAACAAAAATACCTAGTATATCTCAGTGGAAAGCTATTTTTAAAATCACTTGATTTAGAAAACTCCAATCATGATAATTTTGTGGGAATTCTTAGTACACAAATTAAAGGGTTTAAATTACTCCGCAAGAATGTGTGAGTTCAAATAATCTTAATTAGAAAATATCTACCTCGATGCATATTTATCAGGTGTTTCTAACATCTGCCATGACACAAACTTATTTGGAGGGTTGCTTTATGAGTTATAGCTCCTGTGGTCAGCAATAGCAGCAATAGTGCAATATGAGACCAGGAGCCACAAGTGTGATGATTCCAGGCTGGCCTGACTCTGCCGCGTTTCATCTCTGGGCCTTGAGAATGTCATTTAACTTTTCTTAACCTTCTTCCTCATGTCTAACGAGAAAAAACAGTTTCCGCCTCAAAGTGTTGTTTCATGGATCAATGAGATTTTAGGAAACCACAAGGCATTATAATATAGCATAATATTAAAGTTACATTCTATACAAAAATGCCATAATAATCAATGTAGGACATTTCTCATAATTCCTGGCCCTTACTATGCAAGAGTTTGGGGTTTTTTTTTTTAATCCAACTCCACAGCAATATATATTAAAATTACAAACCAAATCCGGTGACTATGTGGCTCAATGAGGAAAATGTTGATGTAGTTTGGTACAAAAAGAAATCAACTTGGTTGATGTGCCAACTCTGCCAACTCATGAGTGAGTCTGCACTCGGTTTTCTCATTTGGAAAGTGGAGTAAAAACTATCCTATAAGGATTATGTGGGGATAAGAAAAAATATATGTAAGGGCTTTAGCAGGACAGGCACACAGTAGGTGCTCAATGAATGGCACCCATTTTACACCAAAGAATCCATTTAATAAAGCCAAGTATGCTGTGTGTCTCAACACTCACTCACAACAGCTGAGCAGTGTTCTGCTTTGAACAGTACATCCATTAGCAGAGTCCCAAATAAACTTCTGCCACAGCCAGAGCCCGGGGTTTATCCCTCTTTAGACTCCAGCCGATTAAGGTTGTCCTTGCTGTATTCGCGTTTCCCGCTATAGACCATTCTTTTGTACAACTTACTGATGAACCTCAAATGTGAAGAATAAAATTAATACTGCCCAATAGGGCAACTCCAAGTACAGGCTTTTCCTAACCTCCTTTTCACTAAGATGGAACTACTTCACTGTTTGCTACTTATTTAGGGACAGGGGTGGGGTCCAGCGACTAGGATAAGGAAAAAGCCAAAGTGAATCTGTTGTTAGGAAGCTGTTCAATTTGACCAAAATGAGCAGCCTTTGACTCGTCGCGCCAGCTCCAGAGCGCGTCAGAGTCAGGCCCATTGGAGGCGTTTGGAACGACAAGCAGGAGAGGGGGCGCGAGTCCTCAGGCGCCCGGCCTGGCCCCCGGGCAAACCGACTGTGCAGGCGTCAGTCACCAAGCAGAGCGCGAGTTAGAGTGGAGCTAGGGAAGGGAGCATGCAGCTGGGTTAGTCGTGACTCGACCATGCGGCTTTGCATTCCTGTTCGGCAAACGCACTTAGGCAAAACAGACTTGATGCTTACAATGATCCCAGCCCAAAATGGAGTGTCTCTGACTAGCAGGGAGGAGCTGATGCTCGCCATGAGAAAGCCCACCACGGTCACAGCGATGCCCAAGGCCAGCTGCAGCAGGGCGAGCAGCAGCGGGAACCGGCAACCGCAGCAAGTCCGGGCTTCCTCCTCCCCGCACTCCTTGGGGGCCCCCTTGCCCTTCTTCGGCCCCATGTCGTCGGGCCCGGTGGCGTCCGTGGCCGGCGGCCCCCCCTGCCTCCGCTGGCCGCGGGGCTGTTTGTCCTTGCCCATGGCGGCTGCGTGGGTGGGTGCGTGTACTGCGCACTGGGCCCCGAGCGCGGCGCTGGGCGGGCTGAGCCTGCCCTGGTATTCGAATTACGGAGGCTGAACAAATATGGAAAACGTTTGGAGCCGACTCGCGGAGCCTCCAAAGGCCACAGGGAGCCCGCAGCAGAGGGGGAGTCGAGGGGGGTCGCCAACTGCCAACACGCTGGGACGCAGCGCCTGCTGGGCCCACGGGCAGGGTTTACCAATCGCCCGTGGGAAGCCGGCGCGCGTCCCTTGGCCTCTTAAATCCTGTGCACTTTAGAACAGGCTCACTGCTCGGTGGGGAAAGGTGGGGGGCGGGGGAGGGGGTGGTGTCTGCTGTTCTCACTCCAAACCCCAGGGTTTTGGGTTTTGTGTTGTTGTTTTTTTTATTTTTTTGGTTTTGTTTCTGTTTTGTGAGAGGTGCAATGCAAGGTGATGAATGTTTAAATCATTTCAGTTTAATTAATAGAGAATTTAATCCAAAATAGGCATTACTGGGCTCCAAGCTGTGAAGTCATTTCCAGAAGCTAAATTGTTTATTTTCCAACAAAGGCATAGGCTCTTCTCTTTCTTTTTAAATCCTGCAATTCAACTAACAAAGGCATTTTTCCCATTGAGATATTTGCTTTTGAAATAACTGTTTGTAGCGATGCTGAGCTAATTGTGAACTCTCTCACATGTATTTGTTTTTAAAAGCTCTTTTAATCGTTTACATGGAGCCCCTAGCCAGTCTTCTGTAATCCTGAAAACAGTGCCTAGTGGGATTATTATGCACCTACCACTCAGTCTACATTTAAGATATTTTTTAAAGCACCTACAATGTGCAACAATATAAGGATGCTCAAGGCAGAATTTGTCCCTGCCCAAAGTCACAGAACTAATCAATAAAACTGATCATTCTTATTCCCACATATTTCTCAGTAGCACTTAGAGCAAATATCAGTGAAACCACTAGGAAATGATCCCTTCACTTCGGAGTATTTATATACTACATTGGTATGGTCATTGAGAAAGTTATATTAAAGAATAAATGGTGTTGCCAGCATGCTAGAATAAAGTCTACTCCTAGATTGTCCTATCTCAGCAAATTTAAAGAACTCCCTGCTGTTTCTTTAGAATTATACACTAATTGTTATCAGCTCTCATTGTAGACAGCCTAGTCTGCACAAAGATACCTTTAAAGTTATAAAATATACTCTTACTTAATGAACGTCAGTGTTTTCCTTCTACCTTCCTTCTGGATCAGTGAGAAAAATATGGTCCATGGAACAAATGCAGTTCAAAACCATGGAAAGCAGAATCCCAACCATGCATCCCAGCATTCCACCTAAAGGGTCAGAGGCAGCCCTGTGTCCTCACAGGAGCTGCAGAAGGGCTGACGCAGGGTCATCTCCAGCTTCGGGCCATTCCGCTATTAGGGTTTCTAGAGAGAACAGTGAAATAAAAGCTGATGTTACACAAGGTACCCACCTGACTTGGGCCTGATTGAGAACAACCTGAGTGACAAAAACAATACTTGTTTTTTCTATGTAAATATACTAAATATTTTTAGGAAGCTAATGGACCGCCTGGAATTATTTGTCATTATAAATAATATAGCTACCAATGACTGACTATTCTGTAACAAACACATGCTAGGTGCTTTACATACCTTAATGGTATTCCTCAGAACTACCTTATAATTGTAGTTTCCACTTTTAAAGATGAAAAAATGAGTATCAGAATTATTAAGTAACCATATTAATAAGGCACTCGCTTAGTTGGGGGTGGAGGGGAAGGTAACCAAATGTGAACTCTTATGGATTACTTGTTTTATTAATTACTTCCTGTAGGCGAACAAGTGGGTAGAGCCTTTAAGTTGTTTGTGATTTTAAACAACTTAATGATCATGGATAGTATTTTATCTGTCACAGAATTAGCTATTAGCCTTGAACCTATAGCTATCTGAGAACTTCACAAAAAATATCTTGATTCCCCACCATAATATATACAATAGTTGCTGGAAGACCATTATTTCTATTATAAATTTATAACCAGATACAGGCTGTATTTGCTGACCATACTGCTGGGCTGTCATTTAGTTAAAAATAAAATATCCCTAGCCTTTTCATCAAAACCTTAAACTAGATGTGAGTTAGAATAGTTCAACAAAATAATAGGATGCTCCTGTAGGTTTGTCTTGTAAGTTTCAGAACTCGTGAGGTTTACAGTTATAAAGCAGTTATACATAAAGTCTTATAACAAAGGCTTACTTTTAATTGTCTAGCTAAGACAAGTTACAAATGAAACTAGTAGCAGCGAGCAACAGCCCAGATAAATTGTAATCCTCTAGTCTGATTACAACTGCCAACTTCAATTTTCAGCTTCCAACGAAGAAGGCGGCAGTATCGGGAGCCTTACACCTGCTCAAGTTCCCGGCCGCAGGCTGCAGTCTGCAAGGGGGCCTGATCTTTGGCAATACCTTGAGATGATATTGATGAGGGTAGTGTTTTCACTTAATTGATACAGGAAAGTAGAAGCAAAGAATGGGGGTGAAGAAAATTGTCAAAAGGTTAGTGATAGAGAGTAATATGGGATCTGAAGGTCCTTAAAGATACAACAAGGAAAGCCCTTCCATTAACATCTTTTCCACTGAGAAAAATCACCGTTTCCAGCTCGTCACATAATTTAACAGAAATGAACACAATTTTTTTTAGTATTCATAAATTATAATGTCTCTATTTTATAGGGTAAGCAATAACCTCTTCAGATATTTATATTACCGGGAAGAAAGGCAGAGTAGAAACAAAGTGTTTTCAGATACTCTATTGGCTGCTCCCATAACTCAAAACTGATAGAAGTTATAAATTAGAAAGTATAGGAGAGTAGTTAATATATATATGGTTTGGGACTATTTTGATCCTCTGGGGAAAATAACAAAATGAAGCTTAGTATTTCTTTTTGCTATATCTCAAATTCAACATTATTTCTTAGTGTTTATTCTTCAGAGGTTTAGAACAGGGACGGTGGCAACTCCTTTTAAAGCTAGTGTCATCAACAAAATGTCCGTGGGAAATCCAACTAAAATAGTCTCCAACGTATTTCTAAACACGTAATCTTAGACTCACCAAGAACAAAAAAAGATTTCATAGAAAAATTATTATAATTCCAAGGACTGTATCAAGTCTCTTTAATGTGTAATTAAATATATCAAAAATGTTCAAATCTGATTTAAAGAAGTATCAAATAGTATACAGAGAGCAAATGAAAACACCTTTGGCCCATATGTCTCACTGGCCTCCATATACAAAATGAGTCTAGAGATGTTGCTCATCATGTGGTGTGTGTGTGTGTGTATGTGTGTGTGCGCATCTTTTCATATGTCTATGGACCATCTGTATGTCCTTTGAGAAATGTCTATTCAGGTCTTTTGCCCATTTTTTAGTTGGATTGTTGGTTTTTTTAGGTGTTGTGTTGTATAAATTACTTACACATTTTGGATATTAACCCTTTATTAGATGTAGCTTTGGCAAATATGTTCTCCCATTCAGTGGGTTGTCTTTTCATTTTGTTGATGATTTTCTTTGCTGTGCAAAAACATTTTAGTTTGACTGTAGCCCCATTTGATTATTTTTTCTTTTGTTTCCCTTACCTGAGGAGATATATGAGAAAAAATATTGCTATGAGAAATGTCCAAGATTTTACTGCCTATGTTTTCTTCTAGGATTTTCATGGTTTCGAGTCTAACATTTAAGTCTTTAATCCATTTTGAGTTTTTTCTTATGTATGGTGTATGAAGGTAGTCTAGTTTCATTTTTTTCTACAAAGCTGTCTAATATTCCCAACACTATTTATTGACTATCTTTACCCCATTGTATGTTTTTGCCTCCTTTTTCAAATATTAATTGACTATAATGGTATGGGTTTATTTCTAGGCTCTCTATCCTGTTTCATTGATCTACGAGTACATGCCTGTTTTTATGCCAGTGCTATGCTTTTTTGATTACTATGGCCTTGTAGTATAGTTTGATATCAGGTAGCATGATTCCTCCAACTTGGTACTTCGTTCTCAAAGTTGCTGTTGCTATTTGGGGTCTTTTGTGGTTCCATATAAATTTTTAAAATATTTCTTGCAGTCCCATGAAATACGCCATTGGTATCTTGATAGGAATAGCATTCAGTCTATAGATTGCTTTGGATACTATGGACATCTTAATGATATTAATCTTCCTATTCATGAACACAGTATATGCCTCCATTTATTTGAATCTTCATCAACTTCTTTCTTCAGCATCTTATAATTATCTGAGTACAATTCTTTTAAATCTTTGGTTAAATTTGTTCCTAGGTATTTTATTCTTTTTGAAGCAATTGTGAATGGGATTGTTTTCTTAGTTTCCCTTTCTGATAGTTCATTATTGGTGTATAAACATGCAACTGATTTCTGGATATTAATTTTGTATCCTGCTACTTTACTGAATTCATTTATCAGTTCAAGTAGTTGTTTTTTTTTTGTTTTTTGGTTGTTTTTTTTTTGGTGGAATCTTTAAAGTTCTCTATATCATGTGTCATGTCATCTGCAAATAATGACGGTTTTACTTCTTCCTTTATAGTTTGGATGCATTTTATTTCTTCTTCTTGTCTGATTGCTGTGGCTAGGACTTCCAGTACTATGTTGAATGAGAGAGGTGAAAACAGACATACCTGTCTAGTTCCCAGTCTTAAGGAAATGCTTGTAGTTTTTGCCCATCGAGTATGATGTTGGCAGTGGGTTTGTCATATATGGCCTTTATTATGTTGCAGTATGTTCCCTCTACTTCCACTTTGCTGAGAGATTTTATTATAAATGGGTGCTGGATTATATCAAATGCTTTCTCTGCACCTATCAATATGATCATGTGTTTTTTATCCTTTATTTTGTTTATGTGACATATCACATTTATTGATTTGCAGATATTGTACCAACCTCGCATGCCTTGCAAATAAAATATTTGCATGGTTTGCAAATATTTTATTGAGGATTTTAGTATGT